ATCCATGCCCATCTTCCTCTACTTTAAATGGGACGCCGCCACAGCATGGCCCGACAAGCGGTGCGTCGGTGCACGCCCGGGATCCGAACCAGCGAACCCCAGGCCGCCGCAGGGAAGCACGCGCACTTAACCGCTTGCGCCACCGGCTGGGCCCGATCAGTAGCTATTCTTAAAAAAATTTTCTTCTGTGAACAGTTACTAATATGTCTATAGTTTAACGTATTTGTTTAAAACAAAAAGTCATTTTATCAGGAGCTTTCTGGAGAAATGACTCCTTACCCAAAGGAGCAAGTCTAAATGATGGTAATTTCAGACGGCTCGTTTGTTTTGAAAGGGCCTCCAAGATTGGTGGTGACAGAAGCAGGGAGATGTTTGGCAACAGCGCAGGCCTTTGTTCCCCTCGAAATTTCACTGGGTGGGTTTCTGCCTCCTCCACGTGCCACCTGAACACAGAGTGTGGGTTCCAGGATGGTTTCTTCTGGTGGTGAATGACCTCTCAGCTGGTATTGCCCTCGCTCCTGGGGCCAAGCCTGAGGATCACCTAGAACGCTTGTGAGAGGTGTTAGAATGCAAGGAGAGGCCAGGGGCTTTCCTGGGAACTGCTCCTAACCTCAAGTGTTACTGTATTCAAACTCTTGCAACAAATAGCGTTGTAAAGAGCAAATACATTATCTCCAGGCCACCCACTATATGGCAAAGCTCTGACTGGCTGACACTCGTTCATCTTCCATTCCTAGATTAATGCTGTCTTCACATGATGTTTACATTTTTTGCTTTGCTCATCTCTCTGACAGACATTTGCCGCATAGATGTGTGATGGCAAGGTTCTTCTAGGCTTTTTAGATGTGTGAATGTGTGTTTTTCACTGTCTTGTTTGTTGTGGTCTTCACTACATTTATATCCATTATATCTTCTATTCAGAATCAGCTGGTTTTTAAAAGGTACATTTTAACATCGGGCAATGAAATGATGTAAACAATCTTTAGAGAATTAAAATCAGTCAAGCTAATAGGTTTTGAATATAAAGGAAGTATTTTTGTGTAACTTAATGCATCAACAGACACCACTTCTTCATTCTCTTTCTCCTTTGTCCCAGTCTCTGACTTTTTCTCAGTTGACCATGATGTAGAATTGAAATACTATCCGTAAGAAGCATTTTTATTATTTGTTTCATTCTTCTTTCCTTCCTTTAAAACAGATAAGCCTAACATTTTTTATTTTCTTTTTTAAATATCCAAATTAAGTGCTTTGTGCTTCCGCTGGATCATGATAGATTTGTATTTTGAGACCAATGGGACCCATGATAAAAAAATTTTCTCACCTCTCATGTAAGGGATACATTAATAGCTTGTCTATTCAGGTTGGTTTTAAATCAAGGAATCTTCTGTCGTCAGCGACCCTCAGCTATACTGCCTTCCTACAAATCCCACAGATGTAAAAAACACAAGGCTTCTAAGTGTCATTTACCCCCCATACCTAGTGAGCCTTCCTCACGTGCAGAACTGTGTCTCTCTCTCTTGTCATCCACTCCTGAAAGGCAAGTGGCTGAGTATGCAGAGGTGGTCGTTCAGATTACAATTTCAGTTGAACCCAACTGTAAATTAAACTGCAAAGTCTACTTGAATTGGAAGGGTCCATGTCAGATGGTACGCTTCAGGTCCTTGAATCTTGAAGCTGGAAGAGACCTTGGTGATCATCCTGTCCAACCCCTCGCTTTAAAGATGAGTAAGTGAGCCTTGGGAATTGTAAGCAACTCGCCCCAGGTTACACTGTTGGTTGATGACAGAGGTGGACTTGGATCCCAGGGCTCCTGACTCTTACTTCTGTCGTCTTTCATTTCATCGAGGTGCCTTTCATCTTTACCTGAATCAGTTTGAAGATAAAAGACTTCTAAATGCATAAAAACAACTGGTACTACTTAACTCATGTGTTGCATTAATAACAGTGTTTTGGCTCAGGAATCATTTAATATGAATCATAAAATGAGACCATTACATCACTGCTGCGTTAAAATGCAGCAACCCTGGTTCAGTTGGACTGCATCTCTGAAGGCAATGGAAGTAAGTGAATTTTTAAATTGAAAATTCCAGCCTCAGCAATTTGTCGCTTTGCTTTTTTTCGTGTAGTCTGCACCATAAGATTATTCACGAGGAGCCGGCCCGGTGGCGCAAGCAGTTGGGTGCACGCGTTCCTCTGCGGCAGCCCAGGGTTCGCCGGTTCCGATCCCAGGCACGCAGCAACGCACCGCTTGGCAAGCCATGCTGTGGCAGCATCCCATATAAAGTGGAAGAAGATGGGCACGGATGTTAGCCCAGGCCAGTCTTCCTCAGCAAAAAAAGAGGAGGATTGGCAGACGTTAGTGCAGGGCTGACCTTCCTCACAAAAAAAAAAAAAAAGATTATTCATGAGACACTTTTATTACTGCAGGAAATTTTGTGCTTGGACATGTCCTGAATGGAGCTGACATCTCTGCAGCCTCCTCTCCAGGATTCCTCTCTGACATACGATGGCCTAACTGTTCTCTTTCTCCTCCATCCAGCATGGCACCACGCTCCTCATGGTCGCCTCCTACGCTGGTCACATAGCCTGTGTGAGGGAACTGGTTCTGCAAGGAGCAGACATCAACCTCCAGAGAGAGGTAGGTCAAGTTTTACACTTGAATAAGAATGACCCTGGTGACAGAGAACATTGTCACAATAGTGAGTTGGTAAGGAAGACAAGCATAATCATTGCTTTCCTTTTTTTTTTTTTTTTTTTTTTTTTTTTT